ATAGTTCCTTGTCATCGGTTCTCTGAGGTTTTCTACTTCTGTGACCTGTTAGGGCCTTGGACACCCACAGGGCAGTTCTGCCTGTCCTATAGGGTCTACGAGTCAGATGGACTTAATAGCAGCGGTATTTGGCGTCAAGCTCCCCAAGGTGTAGGTCTACTTCCCACTGGGCTTTTTGAAATAGAGCTTGAGGGACCCACGGGGGACCCCTAGGAAAGCGTATGCCACCCCTGTGAAGGAAGGCCTGCCCTTGCTCCAAATCGCCACCTTGTAACCAGAAACTAAAACCAGTTGCCACCAGTCAGCTCTGTCGCCCAGTGACCTGACTTGAGTCGGAACAGGCCCATGCTCCAGAGGCTGGATCCACGTCCATCTTTCCGTAGATTGCCAGGCCTTTCCTGTGCAGTCCCTCTGGGCAGACTCCAACTACAGACTTCTGGAACTGACCAGGTGAGCTTCCTGCCCGGACGGAACCCTCGATCTGCTCAGGGGGCCTGTGCCCCACTGCAAACCCTGCCAGTGTGTTCCCACAGTAGCCCTGTTGGAACGACACCACCCACCCCCAGCCCGTGCCCAGCCCTCAGGCTGAGGTGGCTGGCTTCTTTTCAGAGGTCAGGTGACCTTGGCTTGGGTGTGGATGAAGTCCCCAGTTGTGGGCAGTGCCAACTCTCTGGGAGCTGAGTGGGTGGGAGTAAGACTTGCCCCAGGACAGTGCTAGTCTGCTCCGCCACCAGCCACTCCCCGCCCCCTCTGGGCTATGCAACTCTTATCCGGGGAGCCCTGTCCAGGGCCCTGGGCTCTTTCTCTATTGTCTGAGATACTCTAGTTCCCTCTGCTTGACTTCGGTCCCCAGTTAGGGCAGAAACTCAGACAGGCCACGTGCGCCCCAATCCTGCCAGGAGTCACCTCTGGATTGAACCACCTTGGGAGGAACCACCTACACAGAGCCCCACCCCTCTCAGGGGCGATGGCCTTTGGGGGACAGGCCCCTGCAACTCTGGGGCTGGGTGGTCAGTACCAGCCTGAAGAACCAGGGCCAGGGGTCTCGGGGGTAGAGTTGGGGGTGGTGGTGGTGTGATGCTCTCGGGGGAGGAAACTGGGCCCTCACTGCACCCCTAGGATTACCAGACGGCGCCCCCAGCCCCGGGGACCACAGACCCCCTCTTTGTGCCTGTGGGGAGGCGGTGGAAGGCAGGCAGCGGGTGGGGAGGGAGGGAGGGAAGGAGCCGCTGCCGCAGGCGCAGGGAACCGCGGGCCGGCCCAGCCAGTGCGCGGAGCCCCGTTTATTGGTGGCGCGCGCTAGGCCTCGGGGCGCTGCCTGAGCGTGACCGCGGCGCCGCTGCTGGCCATGACGGCGGGGTACAGCGGCTCCAGGAAGGTGGCCAGGAAGCGGTAGATGAGGCTGGCCCCGCCCGCCACGCCGTAGAAGGCCAGGCAGCCGGCGGCGCAGTCCAGGGCCACCCCGAGCGTGCGCTGGTAGGCGCCGGGCAGCACGGTGCGCTTGTTGTCGTGCCACACGGAGAACTTGAGCGAGTCCCACTCCAGGCACCACGAGTCCGGGTTGCGGCCCAGCAGGTAGACGACGCTGCGGCGCGCGCGGCCGCCGGCCAGGGCGCCGCGGCGGTAGGTGACCCCCAGGCACACCCACGAGTCGGACACCTCGGCCTCCCAGTAGTGGCGGCCCTCGGCCAGGCCGCGCGAGCACAGCACCTGCGGCCACTGCGCGAAGCCGGGGCAGGGCGCGCCGGCCGCCGCGGGCTCCAGCAGGATGCCCAGGTTCAGCACCGAGTGCGTCTCCGGCAAGAGGAACAGCTCCGGGCTGGCCATGGCCGGGTCGAAGTGCAGGTTGCAGTAGGCTGGGGGCAGAGGGGTGCGGGGTCAGACCCCTGGGAGGGCGGCGGGCGGGGTGTGTGTGGGTGGGTGGGTGGGGTGATGACTGGTCTTTTGGTCAGAAGTCACACGGACCCACTCGAGGGTGCTAGGAAGGGCCCCACTTTCCCCCAAGACACACACACACACACACACACACACACCAGTGAACCTCCACCTGGTGCTGCTGGCAGGTTCGAGGAAGGAGGAATGGGGTGCAGTGGCACGCCCACCTTGGGAGGGCTGATGATGGGGTCAGGAGCTGGGTGGGACTAGGGAGAGCCCAGGGGCCCTGGGCAGATGGCTTGGCCCTTGAGCTCTCAGAGGCGGCACTAGGATTCAGCCCTCCACTCTTCTGAGTTGGCTTGGCCCAAGGGAGTGGGCAGACCCCTGCTGTGGGCAGAGGTGGGACCACGCTAGGGCTGGGGCGGGCATTAGGTGAGGCTCTGCCCCACTCCTGGGGGCAGGTGAGAGGGCTTCTTCTCCACTCCCTACCCCTCCCAGGGCTTTCCACCGATCCTCCTGGGGTCTATCCTGAGGTGCAGGTTAGGGTGAGGGTGTGGGCACCTGGCCTGAATGGCAGTGGGGTGAGGATGTTGAGGCACCTGTCCCCCACCCCCAGGCCCCACACGTGGACTCACACTTGAGGAGGACCTTCCGGTCCATGGCGGGGGGCAGCACCTCATAGGAGTTCATCTTAATGCCTGGTGGGCAGGGAGAGGGCTTTGTTGAGGACTCCCTCCCAGGCCAGCCTCCTTCAGGAGAATGTGTGCCTCCCAGCAGGCAGTATGGCCTGAGCAAAGGGGAAGGCAGGACCCAGGGCCCAGCCCCAGGCCCCCTGCGGGCCACCAGCTACTCACCCTTCAGGAGGAGCTTGTTGAGGAAGCTGAGCCCCACATTGGCCAACTGGGTGCGGAAATCCACCAGGGTCTCCGGCAGCCAGTGGAAACTCTCCTCGTCAAAGGCTGTGCCCGTCAAGGGCTCGTCGTGGGCTAGGAAGTGCTTCAGCCTGGGGAACTCCTGGCAGACAGGGAGGTGGCAGAGGCACCTGTGAGTGAGCCCCCGGCCCATGGGGATAGGTGTCGTAGAAGGTGGCTGGGTTTCCCCCTGCCTCCTGGGGTTTGGAAAACTCAACCGTGGGTGTGTGTCCAAAGTAACCCCATCGCCACCCCATGTGGCCCTGTGGAAGGGAAAGGGACGTGGAGAAAGATGAGAGGGGAGGGTATTTTCGAGCCTCTCATTGCTCAAATGAAAGGTAAGCGGTTGCCCTAGAACTCAGCTCACAGCTGAGCTGGCAGCCGAATAAGAGCCATGTGCAAAGCTACCAGGCATGGGGTTTGGGCAGGTCCCAGGACTCTGTCTACCAAGGAGGCTGCTGCCACCTTCCTGCCAGCTACCCTGGCTTGTGGGGAGTCCCCGGGGGGCTGCAAATAGGTAACAGGAACTACTGATTGAAAAGTTGAAAGTCTGCCCACTCAGAGGGGCCTCAGAAGAAAGGGCAGTAAAACCAGTTCTTGAAAACCCCTGTGGAGCACAGTTCTACTCCACAGCGATTGAGGGGCCAGGCCAGGGTTGAGGAGTAAGATTTCAAGGAAGGCTTTCTGGATGGTTCCAGTCTCACTCACTCCAGATCGTGGTTCTAGGGAGTCGGGAAAAGCGCCCCCTTAAGACCATCCAATGCCCAGCGTGCAAGGGCATGTGTTCCGGGAGAATGAGGGCAGCAAGCTAGGGTCTGGGAGACAGACAGACTTCCTGAAGGCTAAGGCTGAGCTCTGAGGTGGAGGACGAAGCTGAGGGTGTTGGCCTAAGCTCAGGAGCAGCGTTTGGGGTCTAGGAGGCTCCCTGAGGCAGGGGAGTGGACAAGGGACACTGATCATTTGACCCAAGGTCTGGGCAGATCCGGTGTGTTTGGGTGTGCGGGGTGGGTGTGTTAGTTATGTCATCTAGTGTCAACTTTTCTGAATATACAGTTATCCTTTGATCCAAAGCTCTTTCTTATACACGTGTGTCTGGATTTGTTTCTCTAGTCAACCCGGACGGTACCGTGGGGTTTGGAGTACTGAGGATGTGATAGGGCCCCGGGTGGAGGTGGTGGGAGGCTCGCCTGCAGAAACTGCTGGTCACTCTGGTTGGTCAGCAGCGTGTGCAGCCAGACGCTGTCGCCCTCCAGCGCCAGGAGCCGGCCGTGGCTCTGCTGGATGGAGTTGCCCAGTTTCCCCAGGACAGTGGTCTCCTCTTGCTCCAGAAACTCCAAGATCTTCACCTGCAGCTGCTTGGTCTCTCTGACAATGTCCGAGAAGCAGGCGTTCACCTCGTTGCGCATTCTCTGGGTCAGTTTCTGTCCGGGGTAGGGGTGGGGGCATAGATAGGGTTCCAACCCACTGGCTGCTTTCTTGGATGGGTGGGGGAAGGTATGTGGCAGTCTGCTTCCATGAAGATTTGCATTCCTGATGCCCCCATAACCCTGGGGCCAGAGCTGGCCAGAGCATCTGCTTCTGTCTGCCTGGCCCTCACCATCACCTCCAAGCCCGGGCTTGGGGCCAGGGTCTGGCACTCAACCTTACCGAGAGTAAGGCCATGCGACCCCGGTGCTTCTGGTTGTCAGAGGCGATGATCAGCATCTGGTTCTCCACGTTGGCCTGGACCTTCCGCACCTCGACCTGGGGTGAAGGGTGAGGCAGAAGAGGCGAGGCCTGATTCCGGGGGCCCATTGGCCAGCAGCCCCGCATCAGAGCCTGCAGCTACTTGCATCTAGCGCAATGGTTCTCCACCTTCCTCATGGCGTGACCCTTTCATACAGTTCAAGTTGTGGTGAGCCCCCGCCCCCCAACCAAAAAATTATTTCTGTCGCTACTTCATCACTGTCATTTTGTTACTGTTAAGAATCGGGTGATCCCTGTGAAAGGGTCATTCGGCCTCCAAAGGGGTCACAACCCACAGGTTGAGAACCACTGATGTAGCGGCTCTGCTTAAATAGGAACGAGGGGGGAAAGGGTGAAGGGTCGAGGGTCGCATGGCCACCCTCTGCTGCAGGCCTCTGCCCCGCTGAGGGATCAGGTTCTCTGCTCTGACAACAGTGTCCACAGGAAGGGGCAAGGAAGGTTCGGTGGCAGGGGGGTGCTGGAGAAGGCAGTGGGGTCCAGAGGGAGACATCCATCGGGTGGGGAGTGGACACGGGCGTGGTGGTCACTCGGTTGCAGGGAAACAGGGGTGGATGGGAGGCCCGGGGAGCCAGGTCCCTGTGGCCCGGGCCCTGACCTCCTTGCAGGCGCGCTCCTCGGCCAGCGGGATCGTGTCGTGGTCCTTGTGTTCCTCCAGCAGGCAGGCCCCGCACACGCAGCAGCCCTCGGTGCGGCAGTACAGCCGGCACAGCTTGCGGTGCTTTGGGCACAGGCGGCCCTTGAGGTCCCACACGGGCTCCAGCAGCTGGTGGCCCTGGAACACCTGGTCCTCGATGTGGCTGCGCAGGTGCCTCTCGCACAGCGAGGCCGCGCACTGCAGGCACGACTTGAGGGCCTTGAGCTTCTGTGGGGAACAGACGTCACAGGGAACATCCCCCGGGCCGGCCACGTCCTGCAAGGACCTCATGGCCGGGCCCTTGTTCTGGGTGAAGCAGGCCACCATGTCCCCGAGTGTGACATTCCTGCAGAGGCGGGGCCTGGAGGGGAAGGTCTGCCGGCACTGGGGGCAATAGGACATCTCACCCATGGCGGTCAGGTGGTCCCAGAACCCTTGGAGGCAGGCCAGGCAGAAGTTGTGGCCGCAGGTCGTGGTGGCCGGGTTGTGGAACACCTCCAGGCAAATGGGACAGAGGACTTGGTCCTCCAACATTCGGAGTTTGCTGTTGGTCGGCAGAGACTGGCCTTCGGCCGAGGGCTGTGGGGCTGGCACTTGGTCCTGGACAGGCCCTGGGAAGACAAAAACAAAGCAGGGTGAAGCCGGGGGCAGAGGCTGAAGGGGCCTTTGGGGAGGGGCGGGGCGTCCATCCCTTTTCTTGGAAGCAGCTCCCAGCCCATGGGGACCAGGGCTGTATCATCTGTCAACGCCCTCCTCCCCAAACCAACCCACCCACCCATTGCTATGGAGCTGATTCTGACTTGGGGTGACTCCAGCCTAGAACTGCTCCAGAGGGTTTTCTGAGCTCAGGACGCTCCCCAGGGTCCGTAGTTCAAACCCAGCAGATGCTCTGCGGAAGAGCGGCGAGGCTTTCTACTGCCATCAAGGGTGACAGTCTTGGAAACCCACAGGGACAGCTCTCCCTTTTCTCGCAGGGCCCCTCGCTGTGAGCGGCCATGGACTCAAGGGCAGGGCATTATCTTTAAGGAGCGAGCCCTGGGGCTGAGACCGCTGAGCACGAGACTGCTCACCAGACGGCGAACGAAGAGGTTAGGCGTTCAGATCCCTCAGCAAGAGCTTCTTCCATGAAGGTGGTGGCCAAGAAAACCCTTATGGGACAGCCTTGCTCTGCCCCCCCCCCCCCCCCGTGGGGTCACCATGGGCTGGAATCAATGTGCTCTCCACAGTGCCAGCGAGAGTGACCACCATGGAGGCAGATTGCAGGCCTTTCTCCCATGATGCTGTTGGGTAGGTTCAGAGTCTGTTCACACCACCCAAGGGCTTCTTGCCAACCCCCCGAACCCCACTGCCTTTGCCTCAGTTCTGACTCAGTGTACCCTAGCGGAGAATGTAGAACTGTTAGTCAATTCCGACCCACAGTGACCCTACAGGACAGGGTAGAACTGTCCCTGTGGGTTTCCAAGACTGTCACCCTCTGCTGGAGCCCACAGCATCATCTCCACACCATGGAGTGGCTGGTGGGTTCAAACCACTAACCTCATGGTCAGGGGGTCCGCCAAGGGGCATGCATTGGCGGTAGAGTGTGTCCTAAGTGTTGCTCCCTTGGCCCTATCTTCGGGGTCAAATCCTGGGCAAGCAGACAGAGGGGGGAGAAGTGACCTCGTGACAGGGAAGAGGAGCCACTGCCCGGCCTGAGGGAGAGGGGGGCCAGGAGTACTCACGTGAAGGCCCCGTTGCATTGGGGACACCCCGAGATTCTGATGCCCTGTGGGGGGGGGGAGAGCAGGTGAGCGCTCACCGCCGGGCCACTCCCTGAGACCGTGCCTCCCCATCACCCCGTGCCCCCTCCACCACTGTCTTACATCTCTTGGGGTCTGGTGATGACTGCCTTCTCACCCTCCACTTTGGCTGCTGGTTTTCGGTTGCACTCTCAAGGGGACCCCACCTGGAAGACTGCCTCCCACAATTCTGCTCTGTGACCTCACCTTCAGGTGTGATGTCAGCAGGGCAAACGGGGTGTCACTGGACAACCATGCTGGTCCTCAGCCTCTCCAAGGGCAGGCTATTTCCTCCAGAGCCTCCGGCCTCAGGGGCAGAGAAGCCGCAGCAGGCCCCTGGCCTCACCCGCAGTGGCCTTACTTAACCAATGGCCAAACTTAACCTCCCAGGGAGGGAGGAGGGTGACTAAAGGGCAGCAGGGTCCTGGGCAGCCCGTCCAGTCTCTCTGGACCACGGGTGTTCTCTTGCCAGCCAGCAGGGCTAGCGGTAGAAACTTGATTCGTTAATTTTATCCTTCGTCTCGATTAGCTGGATAAAAGCAAACACGTAAACAAAACAAAGCAAAACACACCACCATCCAGTTGGTTCCGACTCCTGGCGACCCTACAGGACAGGGTAGAACTGGCCCTGTGCTTTCTAAGGTTGTAACTCTTCCCGAGAGCAGAAAGCCTCATCTTTCTCCCACAGGCTGATGGTTTCAAACTGCTGACCTGCGTTCGCCGTTCAAAATGTAACCACTATGCCACCAGGGCTCCCTAGTTATACATAGCCCTGCTATTTGGGGGCGTAATCCCATCTAATTATTACACCTAAGATAGAGCGACCCAAAACCCAACAAGTCGATTCTGACTCATCGTGATCCTGCAGGACAGAATAGAACTTCTCCAAAGGGGTTCTGAGACAGCCTCTTCTTTCTCCCTCTGAGAGGCTGGTGGGTTTGAACTGCCAACCTTGTAAAGAGCAGCCCAGTGCGCTCTTTTTTTATATGGAAGGTTTATATGTTTCTAATCCCTGCCCCACCAGGGATTCTTGACTGGTCAAAGTTTAATACAAATTGATCTATTTTTTCTCTCCTTAGACTATCGGAAACCCTTAAAGAACTTTAACTCCATTTACCGCACCCTGGCTTTTATTATTGCTGTGTCGTTCATTCTATGCATGATTAAAGCCGAGCCAGAAGCCTCCTTAGAAGCGAAGACGGTGAAGACTTTGCCTCATGCTCTTTGGGCATGTCGCCGATTGTGACCAGTCCCTGAAGGGAATCCTACTTGGTCAAGTACAGGGTCAACCACCAACAGAGGCCCTCAAGGAGCTGGATGGGCAGCGTGGCTGCAACGGTGGGCTCAGACATAGCAATGGTTGCGAGGGTGGTGCAGGACCTGGCAGGGTCCTGGTCTGTTGGACACGGATTGCTATGAGTCAGAAGTAACTACAGGCCACACTGACAAATGTTTGTCAATCTTCCATCTGGAATCACATTGTTTCTTGGGGGCCGGTGGAGGGGGGGGAAGCAGTGTGATATGGGTGCAATTTCCTGATTCAATAGAGTTTTAAATTCTATACCATTGGCTCAATCAATGACACTATCAATCGAATTATCTTATGCCCCAGGGGATGAATGTTCTCTGTCATAAAATGATGTCTCTAAAGTGAATTAGAAACATATGGACCATAGGCATATAAATAGATTTTGGGCTAACACTTCACTCCAGCCCCAATTAGTTCTTATGATGTGGCCCTACTCGAGACTCGCCCTCATGAAGCGGTAACTGAAGATATGGATGACATAGTAAAGTGTGGTGAAGAAACCAGATGGTGCCTGGCTATCGGAAAGAATAGATTCTGGGCTCTTAAAGGCTTGTCTTCACACAGGCTGCTATGTAAGTGAGGCATCGCTACATCCACACAGAAGTAGACACCAGCCTGTGTGATCCAAGGATTATAAACAATAAATCCAAATCCAAATGAGGGAATGGTATCAGCACTTAAATTATGAACAGTCAATTTGTAGGTGGTTATGGATGACAGCGGAAGTCCAACATCCATTTGCAGTGTTCCCACAAGGATTAAGCCCCCAGTGAATCCCCTCTGACCATAGTCCAGAATGTGAACCGTCTTGTTATCTGACAAAGAGCATTGTAAAGTCAATTGTGGCAGACGTCGTAGGGTTAAAATGTAACACCTGATCATTGATCTCCCCTTTGACCCATGTTAAAGTTTCAGTTCTTCTTTCTTTACTACTGTAGCTTTTCTCTGTTTTGTCTACTCACTGTTTGTAGTTTGTCAGTTTGTTTATTTGCTTCCTGCTTGTGTCCTGGATGATGATGCTGTTAGGGAAATCTAGGAAGGGTGAATCTGCAGAGCCGGTCACTGGATTAATAATCACCTAGGGGCAGGGCGGGGAGGTTTGGGAGGAAATGAGGAGCTGACAACAATGAGCACAAGAAGAAAATGTCCTGAAATAGACTGTGGTGGCGATCCCACAAATCTTCTTAATATGATGGGCGATTCATTTGTATGATGTCTGGAGCATATGCCAATAAAACTCTTCTTTTTCAATTAAGGAATATTTTAATTTGTTCATAATCCATTCATTAATTTACTAAGAAGTAATATGATTAGTCTTAGATATTTTT